TTAGCAAGTAAAATAATAATCATAATTAATGTTTTTACATTATATATTTCACATTGGATTAAACTTTTGTTTCGTTATTCGAAACGACACTGCTGACCTAGTGCAATGACCCGAAATAATGTACACAATCGCTTAATCACCCGATCCTTTCTTTTTATCATTTGTCTATTTGCGTTTACAGATAATTTGGCAAATGGTGAAGGAGAGGGGGGCAATCTCTAGCCCATTAGGCACCTAATTTAATTTCGCAAAGAGCATCTATCGGCCACAGCAGTGTGTCGTGGTGGGACGGATCTCATTAATTTTGCAATGAATTAAATTAGTAGAAATCTACCGAGTTACAGATAAATGATTGATATTTCTTTATGTGCCTATTCAAGATCTGAAATAATTAAAGTATACACAGTTTTAACTGCATTACAATATTTGAACTAGGAAGTCTTTTTTAAATAATTCATTTTCACTTTATAAAATATGTGGCGCGGCGATTTCAAAACATATGCCTGAAAGTTTCGAACTTTCAAATTTAATAAGTATTTTAATACTCGTATGTACTCACTAGTACTCGAATATTTCTCTTGTCATTTGGTTATTTTCGTTGTGTGTTAAAATACTGATAGCAGTCATATTATACATAGAAACTTTGTACTACTGTAAATACCACAGGTAAATACTCTTTTGATCACTAAAAATACATAAGACTTATATTTCCCAGAAGTCTTTTAATATATATATATAGCACTTATTGATATATATACAAAGAAAGGAACCCACACTCTGTACATAGTTTATTCCACATGTAAAAATCTATCAAAATTCGATTTTTGTATTAATAATATTGTAAACAAAATTATAAACAAAATTGATATGCAACTGAATGATGACGATGTTTCCGACAGCCACTTAAAATACTTTATCCAGGACACATCACTAATGAATAAGCAGGGCAAATGGTGGAATGTAGCTAATATTATAAATATGATGGAACTGACACTGTTAATACAGTCTGACTGGTGCAGATGATCCCTCGAGATTACAGTTTAAAAACTCATTTATAATTCTTAACGAGTTGTCCATTTTGAATGGGATCGTCCCTTTTAATATTAATTGCTGTATTGTAATTATTATCGTTTCTCGTTTTCCATTGTTAAGTGTCAGACATGTTGTTATTTTCCGGTATTTCTATGGCAGCGTAGGTAGGGCACTATTGAAGCGATATTGAGAAGCCTGAAGGCGAAATGATTATAGTTCGATCTGCAACTGAAGATACTTAACTACTATTTGCATACAGTGCTCACTCAATGTATAAAGATTTTTGTACCTTGTGCTAATCAAATAGAGTTAAATTTTTAAAACAATGTTGTTTGTATTAGAGCTATCTATATTGAAACTGAACTGGTTGCACAGAAGCGTTTAAATTGAATAATAAAAATTAATCTGTCCTTATTGGATTATTGGTTATGATTAGTATTACAAATATCGTAATACTTGCTCATTGGATATGCCGTATACAAATCTAAAAAAAAAGTCCGATTCGAATACTGGTTAGATCAAAAATAATGTAATAAAATTATATATTGTTTATTATAATAATTGATATTTGTGTTCACAATGCATTTCCGCATAGAAAATTAATCTTAATGAAAAATGCTTAAAAATCCACTTTGTCCCTGGCACTCTGAGATGGGTCTCGAACCCATGACCTTCCGCAATTCGGACGACTGTTTAACCACTGAGCTACTCAGGACATCATAGGACTGACGAATGTTTCAAGAACTTGTTATTTTTTCGGTAATACAGAGCGTATTTTCATCAATGTTCGGGCTGTATTCAAACAACCGGAAGAAATGTTTTTAAAAATATTTAAACATTTAAGAAAATTTATTCTAATTATTATATTTGACCAATTTTGCATTCGTAATGATATACTGAAAAATGTTCTGCGACAGCTTTGTTACCCAAGAGCTATCGAGACCAGGACTACCAATTCAGAACGTGTTTTGGTCTTATTAGCTAGAAATTTATCAGCACTTCATGATTATGTATTTTGCGGCTTGGTATTTGAGCAATACGCAACAACACAGACAAATTGTTAGATAGGTCTTGATGTTCTTTTCCTTTATAGACTAGCAATTTAAATCAATATACAAACCCGCTCAATAAATATACTTTCATATCGAATGGTGTAGCTAAAATCTAAATAGGAATAATTTTGTTCCTACATATACCGTTATTTATGTAACCTTTATTATGTAAGTAGAGCAATAATATTAATGTGATTATATAAAAAATAAACCATAAACTCAGATGCTAAAGAATTCACAAGGCAATGTTTTCATTCATAACTCCCATTCTCAACCCATAAATGCTTACGCTTTTTTAGACGAACCCTTTCGTCCGTACATCGGAATGTATTCATATGGCATAAACTATCTGGCCACAACCAACGCAAGTTGGTCCGGAATGGTAAATTGGTGGCGGTTTTTTACGTAGCAAACTCAGCGGTTCAATGCGCGGTCACGGGTCAACGATAGATGGCGGCACATTCGCAGCTTTCAAGAGAAAAGTATGGTACGACCCACTTCATGTGAGGGTTAGGTAGGCCGTGCAGTTCCGAACAAATCGCCATTATTTCAGCATGTTTTTTTTTTATATTTGCGGATGAAAAATAGTCAATCTTTCATTCGATTTACAACATTGGATAAATAGCTGTCAAATAATTTATTATTCCATTATATTAAGCGAATATACTTAGATAAGTTATTATAACCCAACCTTATCAGCAAAATTACTAATTGATCATGATTTTTAAATACAGATTTGTAATTTTGGATGAGCATTCATTTAAGTTGCCTACTAGCTTTCCGCCAGAGACTTTATCTGTGTAGTCCTATATTATACAAAAGACCGGTATATTCTTAATCACTCTTTATATTGATAAAAAAGCATTATAATCTGTTTTGTTGTTTGAGATCTCAGCATACAAAGTCATATTTTGAGATAATCGACTCTAAAATATATTTCTCACTCTCCAGAATTATTCATTTACATACTTATAGATATGAATTTGACGATTGGGTCCGCAGTGCGGGTGAATATCAGTAACAGAAACCACGACTAAAAACCATCGACTAAAGTAAATCAGTCATTAAGAGTACGGCTCCAAATTAAGATGGATGTCATTGTAATCTTTTTCGCAGCTCTGTAATTTAACTCTAGTGTAACATTGTCAGCAGAACTATTTGCTTAAACGGATGCTCTAGTAACTTGAAATTTCGTTCAGTCTAACAATGTGTAGTATGCTAATGGGTTCAGTGTCATGTTACGTCCAGACTCATACGTTAACCATTGTCTGGTGATGTCTAGCGATTATATAAGAAATTATATATCATTACCAGTGTTCGGAATTAGGTAGAGTTATTTATGTACTTACACTGATTTCATACAGCGAAAGAATAAAGTGGATATGCCTCAAATCCCGAGATTAATTTTAAAGAGCAGAAAAAGTCCCGTGATTTTTTAAATAAAAAGTTATTTACTTTTACACAATTTAAACTACTGCACGCATGACGTTGCCAAACTTACATCAATGAAAGAAAGAAATAAAGAAATCCCGGGAAGGTCCACATTAATATCAACATTTCGATGCAAGTACATAAATAACTCTACCTAATTCCGACCTCTGATCATTACTCAAACTCACATCACCATTATTCTTATTAAAGAAAAAAATGTTAAGATATACGAGTAAAGAAAAAAAATTCAGGGTATATGACGATAATTCTCAGCTGAATTAAAATCGAAACTGCTAAAAGACAACAGAGCAAAATTTATTTTTATTAGGTGTAGTACCTAAATAATAATATGAGTTTAATTTATCCAAGTGATTTTAATTTTTTAACATAGTTTCAAATGTTTTCACAACACGTTTAAATTATTAGAATGCTGAAATCATTTCCATTACTATCGAAGTGGAGTAAATTCCTGAAGTTTAACATTGTGCATTGAAACTTATTCTCGAGTGTTAAACAATGGCTATAAAGCTCGGTACATATGTGACTTTCTGATTTTCTTAGGCACTTTACCATGATTTAAATTTCCTTTTTAGCTATTTTGTACTTTAGCTATTTCAAATTAAAATATAGTAAGAGAAAAGCGCTTAGCATTCCATTTGCTGTCATAGACAAGATTTTAATTATAGACAGCATAGTGACCTTTTGTTTTTAAAGTCCCTGGAAGCTGATTCATTTCTTGCTTATTTATCTTTTCTAGATTGATTTCGACGTTTTCTTTAAACAGATGTTATCTGACATGAACTAATGAAACTTCGTATTCGCTGTTAAATATTCTATTTATTTACTTACATTGACTTTCAGTTCGCTTACTTTTATATACAAAATTTATTTTTATCACAATAGAATTAGCGACGCGGATCACATAGATTATATTAACTAATTACATCCATGAGTATTCTTCTATACATAGTATCGTACACTGTATATTTAATAGTAAACTGAATTTATAAAAATTCATTTTATTTTAAAATGGTGACTTTCAAAAGTTTATTTTCTGAAGCTCTTACAAACCAAAAACTTAGTTATGACAAAGTCCTATGTTACATACATTAATCGGATCTGTGCTTAGATATTAACTTACATATTACTGTTTATTCTTCGCAACAAATACATGATCATTTTAAAAGGCATTATTATAAATAAAATGTTATTAAAAAGGTAAGTAAAAAAGCTATAGAATCCATAAAAAAGACTTTAATTAAACGATATTGAAGTGAAATATAGCATCAAAAAGGCCACTTACGAAGGGGGCTGATTGGTCAAATCTAATGGGTCTGACACGTCCATTTTCTTATACCATGAAGAAAAGTTTTGAAAACCGAATTATTAACATAAATTCTTATTATTATTAACACTGTTATTTATAACTCTGTGACATTGATTTCTATATCGATGTTGCGTAATCTTCTAAAATTTACAATGGAATTATGACGTTAATAAAATCAAGATGGCGTGCAACAAAATGGCGGCTGAGTTGTGTGCCGCGCGCGATGCCAGCGCCGATGCGGGATTACGGACGCAAGCGCGAAACTCGTGATAGTCCGCTCTTGTTATAGCACAGTAGTGGACGTGTACGCACGCTGAATCACAATCAGAAATGTCATGAGAATGTCGCACGCGCAACGCTGTGATATACCTGAAAGAAAAGTTTATTTAAATACTATTCATAAGCGCTCAAACGTATATGTAAATGTTAATGTATGCAAAAAAAAATTAAAGAAACTTGTATTTGTAAAAAAATAAATTTAAGCTATATTATTAACTAATATTACCATAAATACATTAATACTAACCAAATTCGGAACAATGTAAATTATGATTAAATTTATATAATTATTAAATAAAGAAATAAAGATGAGGATAGGAATAATTTGTAATTTCTTTTATAAATCTCACTTTACTCACTTAGTAAATACTCCTCTGTCATTATGACTCCTTATTTTGTCTGCGAGCGCATCCAGGGAGGTGGCACTGACCTCCCTAAGACCGTAATATTGTGTCAAGTTATATTCTACGGCCCAGTGGACCTCGCCTCTGCTATTGGTTACGTCTAAATAATACTGTGTGTAGTCTAACACCTGAAAGAGATACGTACTGTTATTAATTTTATAAATTAAAAAACGTTATTGATTGGTATGTATATTTTACAGCTTGGAATAAAATTCGTAGATTGAAATCGTTGTGTAAATAATACAGAAAATTTGGTTGGACTTTTATTTATTCACTGTAAACACGACACAGTACGCATATAAAAAAAAAATGTTGACTGAAGTTAACTGAAATCTAAAGCAATAAAAAAGATATACGTTTATCGCTGGTGCGCAAAACTAATAGAATGGTATAATGGTCAAATACTGTTCACCTAAGTTTTCCAAATCAATTAATAATAAGTACCCGCTAGATGTCGTCATTATAAGACAATCAAGAGAAATAGAGGTCACTATATCGAAAGCTAATATACTATACCTCGTGATAGTAATTTATAGCACATCTCTCTGTGCCACAAATTCTCTATATAAAAAGAAGTATAACAATGACTTTATTTATAAAAAGTGTATACCTTCCCGGTGTTGGAATCAAACTTATACAGTCTTAATCCTGGATTTGATATACTGCCTGCACCCCGGGGCGTCAGCGATGGTGCTAATAGAGCCCATGATACTGGTCGACCTAAAAATATAGAACCATCATTAGTTTCTTAATGTCCCACCGTTGGAATACATACCTTTTTAAGTTAGGATTACACTAAGAACCGAGATTTGATCTAACAAACAAGTGCAGCGAATTGATCAAAATTTACGACTGTAGATGCTGTCGGAACCAACGACCTAATGTGACTTCATGTGACTTCATGTGACTGACGCCTCTGCTAATCCTATAAACTTAAAGTACTTTCAAACTTTTAACCTGGCTTAAACACCTGCGAGTTTAAAAATTAGTCCGTGAAATCTTTTTTGAGATACAGAAACGGTTGATCACGCATAATGCACAGCGCATATAAAAAGAGTTATAATTGAGCAAATATAAATGATCGAGTTACGCGATACTCGCTTCCTTTTGCTTACTCTATAAAAATACAACAAGTACGTATATAAATAAAACAAGTTCTAAACGGTTTCATCGCGTTTGCATTTAGTTTTATTGACGTTTCGGTCCGGTTATTTATGGATAGTACGCGTGAAAATATAAGAAATCAATACGAAAGTATATTTACTATGTAATCAAAGTGTAAAATTACCATCTCTATAAACGAGTCTGAATGTGTCAGCATGGCGGTGCCCATAGAACTGGCCTGCGATAATATCGCTGAAACCTTTAATGATGTGTAGTAGTCTAGCATTGGCTGAGGGTATTAATTCTCCGCCTCCTGACGCCGACGAACTACCAGCGTTATGACGCTCCTCAACCCCTGGCCCAGCATGAGCAACTAAATATACCTAGGAATAACACACAGCTTTAAGACATAAAGGTAAACACTGGTTTTGAGATTATCCTATCTAAAGTTTATTACAGAGATAAATTGTTAAAATGTCAAATTAAGTAATTAAAGCACTTATATATATTGAAATTTAAAAAAAAAGAAAGTAACTAGACCAAGATTGGCAGACCGGTTATTTTCTACATTGACCAGCCCAAGAAAAGAACCCGGAATCTCAAAGATGGTAATGCCTTGAAACCGGTGGCGAACCATTCAGCCACAGAGGTTATATAATATATAACCTCTGTGGCTGAATGGTTCGATTATGCTAGAAAGATTTTAGTTTAAAGAGCAACATTAGCTAGTGATTCAATTCCTACCATTTCTTTCTTTTTTCTAGCTTCAAGGAGAACGTCTTCTAACCAATCCCATTGAGCTCTGCCGCGATGAGAATGAGAACCATCACTCCGTGCAGCCCCGCCCGCCCACAGCACACTATTCAGAACTACAATTCTTAACTTGCTATGTGACTGTTCTATCGTGTAGTAGCCTCCTGAGAAAGAAAATTTTTCATCATCAGCCTATTCATATTTCCAATGCTGGGGCACAGGCCTTCCCAATGAATAGCATAGAAACGAATAAATTCAGACGCAGCTCATATTGGTGGGTGTTTACGAGTGCAATGCAATCGGGGCCAACGGCTTAGGATTTAGGCTTAATAAGCTAATGACTTAAGGTCACTTATTCTAAGACTGGCCCTTACGAAACTTGCTCAACTTTGGCAATCGCAGATGAAAAATCTAACCTGCGACATCGAACTCCTTATATCATTTATTATTTGCATGTTTTGAACGGATAAATTTATTAACCTTTAAACTACAAAATATTATCTCACCGACTATTTGATATTGGCACAAAAAAACCTGAATCCGCTCAATATTCTCCATGAACCGTGTGCGTTAGCTGATAGCTTGTTTATTTATCATGTTTATTGCACTGCAATATTCAAAGAAATGAATAATCCATCGTAGACGTATCAATGATACACATTGCAAGTTTAAAAAAATGAGGGAGTTCAACAGCAGCTATTGAATTGGATTACGCTGCTAACTGTCACATTCCAATACGCTAAATTTTAATCTACAGTCAGTAGCTTAAAAGGACGAAACAACATTTTTAATTATCAGATGAAAGCAACCAAAACTAGGAAAGTAATTGAATTACTAGTTAGTTATATGTTTAGGAAAGATCCGTTTACAGATTAGCTAGTTTTATTTCAAGTGTACTTAAATTTATATATTAAAAAGTAATTTCAGTATTATATTTGATTAATTTTGCATTCACAATGCTATACTGAAAAAAACCAAAATGAAAATGCTTAAAAAATCCACTTTTGTCTCTGGCACTCTGAGATGAGACTCGAACCCACTACTTTTCCTAATCCGAGCAACAGCGTTCCATATTAGGTATACTTGGTTATTTTCCTCTAATTATTATCAGTCATCTTCTGTACATTCACACTTGACTTCAGTTACCCGCCAGTTGCATAAACGTCCCTTTTAAAGCAACATTACCCATACAAATTTGACATTCATTAGAGCTTCAAGACGTCATTAAAACTTAATGGATTTTCGTGCAACTGACCATTGGTCAGATGTTGAAAAGTAATGTTATATTCGTTGCTAAAACTTAACGAACTCCTTTAAAAATATAAATGAGTGAATAAAGAATTCTGCTGTTTCATGTAAAAATTTATAAGACCCATTAATCGGAGAGAATATTACGTGCGTTTTATGGCGAGCAATCGTGCGGCAATAATAGGTTTAACATCACCGTTTCATACCATCATACTACACTTGTTGTTAAAAGTACGAATCGAGGACGATCACCCTTATAACTTGAATGTATGTTTATTTTATTATGTAAGATTAAAATCTACTTTTGTGCAAATATATAGGTACGGTATATTATGTTGAGAATTGAATTTAGCAAATAATAACATGGCAAAGCACACCACTGAATTCTGAGATAAACCTTTTTTCTATTACTTAATTTCAGCCTATGCCATGATTTGCCTATTGAGTTCAGACGCGCGCAGTCTCTAGATGTTTTTAAGAGACATTTTACACACTACCTGACTTCTCATGTGCATTGATCATAATATAACCTCTTACCCCGCAGGCGTCCCGCGAGTTATACAAGCCGTTATCATATATTATATACAAATATGTATATATGTGTTGTTTAGCTATGTATGTATATATATAATTTTTGCTCTACGTCATAGTAATTTTGCTTACTTTGTAATGCTCCATATACTACTACCCATAAACTATTTAAGTCAATACAGTCCAACGTACGGTTTCCTGGAAGAAATTGCTTTTTAGCGATAAGGTCTCTGATTGTACTATACATTTAAAATTTATAAGCGAGTGGATTTTTAAGTAGATAGTGGCTTCTTCAAACTTGAAGAAGCCACTATCTACTTAAAAATCCACTAATTAACTAATTTGTCCTGACATGAACCCGTTAATGATCCAAAACTTAAAGGGGAATAACAGCTACCAAAATAATGTTACACCTGCGATAATATTCACACTGGTACGACGATGAATGGAAAAAAGTAATTTTGTCTGACGAATCCACATTCATTATGTATCCACGCACATGATGGACGGCAAACAAACTACTATCTACCAGGGGAACATTTTATATTAGCTTGTTTTGAGGAAAAACCATTTACGGTGAATGTACGTTTGGAATAAAACCTTTTCAGAGAGTTTACTGAGAGTTTGTGATAAAACGGTATGCTAACTGATGCAAATGATATGGAGAAAATGTTGGACCATAGTTTAATTAATGCCATACGTACAGCTTAAAAAAACAAATATATATTAAAAATAGTTGACATCAATTGTATGGACCAGCTGGCGAGAAACCCGGACTTGAATCTGACTTTGCTCAGTGAGGCTTTTCTTAAATGTACATATTTGCTTGGGACTATCTCGGGACTCGTGGTAAATTCGAAACTTCGTCTTGGCTACACTTCATGCCCTGAAATTTATTTTAGTGGAATAATATGCCCGCAAAGGCTTTTAATATTTCTTCAAAATTTTCAAAATTTAATTTTTGTGCCTTACTAAGGTCCATCAATTCTTCATTGTATTCAATACAGTATTTATTTCATCATATTAGCATTCCTAATTCCATAAAGTTATTAACAGCAACTTTCAATAACTAATAAATTACATATAGCACATATTTTAATTACTCCTACTAGTCCTATTATTTATGAGTAATTTTAATTTTTCTCCCTGACCCTTATCTTTTGTCCGCCAGTGTATTTACTTTAATGGAACATGCTTACTTTTTATGTCATAGCCGATTCACAAGTAACTTGTCACCTACTGTGAATGTTTACACAGCGAAATATATTATATATTAAAGATATTGTAGCACATAAATTCCCGAGTAGACACGACATCACATTACCTTAAAATATTATCCCGTAATACATTTTGAATCTGTACATTTATATTTTAATATTTTTGTTTTTATATATTCTATGTTTCTTCTCGTTAATATTCTTGTATAATATTGCTTCAAATTATACTAGTAGATGTAAATACATAAAAATAAATATTGGCACGATGTAACATTCTTAAAACCGGGTCAAGAATTATTTACTTTCTGTAACTTTGCTATTCCATTTTATCGTCAAAGCAAAAAAAGATCTCCTAATAAATACCCTTAGTTAATATTACCTAACTAAACGCACAGAAAAAAAACTTTATTTTAACGAATCTAGATAAGTAAAAAAATTATATCACCTCAGAAACTTACCAGTTTCAAATGTCCGGAGCGCTTCTGTGGGGAGCCACTGCATCCACATGTCTACTAACCGTCTCGATGGCGGTGGGTCATTATGGCCCAGCGCTGGGAACACAAACTGGCTACTAAACGTCCGACTGAGTACATCTGTCACGTTTCGCACCGCTTCTAGTTTGAATTCTTCACTCATATGCTCCATTGAAGAGGAGAGTATGTCTCTATGAAAGAAAATAATAATTAATGAAAAATACACACAAAATTGTTTTTTTTTTTTTTTACTTTAAAAAACATGGATATGTTTTATAAAACCTTCCGTGCAGTTGTTAGATCAGTGATTGATTGTCTTTTTTAACTTACATTGTCATTCGAAAAATATTTTTTTAAACATTATAATAATAGTTGTACGAGCAAGCGCGTACATTGTCTTGTCAGCATTTACACCGCTTGACTCAAATTCGTTAAGCCGTCATTATAATTACTTAAATATCATAAATTCAGTTCGTAATCAGCCACCAAGAGCGCTACGCGTACCCATACATTCAATCATATATTCATACGTGTTAGTTAGTGTTCATAGTTGTTTCAAATATAAAGTGTTTCTATTTAATCAAATATTATCATTTACAAAATAATTTCGGTATTACTCGAACAATATTTATTTACGGCATTGCTACCATGTACCTTATTTTAATGCACTACAAGCATCTTGAGTATGGAGTAATGGATACGTAATCTAATTTATTACACAAACATTACATTAGATGAAATTAAAGATATTGACTGAACTGCAATAGCATGATATATTAAAAAAGATACAACCTGCTTTTAACTGCGTTGATATCCAAAATTAAACCACCCTTATTAATAAGAGCATCACAAGTAACTTTACATTTTAAATCATCGAACAAAACCCTCATTCTAATATATTTGATATTTATAAAAGCTTTACACATTTTAAGTTACTTTTCACGTGTTAAATACATTTCATAGATATGAATAAAAGTATCCGGAGCCACAAATTCTATTTCGTAACCTAAAATCCTACGAGTGGACCGTATATTGCTCGGTAACAGCAACGTACAGTCGATCGCGTTACTGGCTCAAACATTTTCAAGATCCGGCAAGCGCCGCGTGATTTCCGTCCCTGTCGCGAAAATCCCCGGTACCGTCTATAAATCTTGAATCGCACAATATTTTGTGCCATTGTTGAACTGTACGTCGTGAGGATTTTGGTTACAGTATGCTAGGTAAATGTACGGGTAATTCGTGACCATTCCAATCGCCTTCAAATTGAGGTTAAAATAATTGAAAAAAAAATCGAAGCAATTTGTTCGGGCCTTCCTTATTGTTTGTAATGACTTACAGGGTAGGCAGAGGGTGCGATTCTATACACCCATTTATATTAAAGCACGAAAAGCGATAACATTAAAGAAAACGTAAAAGAAATAAATGAAGATAGAAAATGTGAAGTAACCCGAATGCGTGATGAATGAATGCGCACTATTGGCTATTGTAGAATCAAAATGCGTAAAAGCCTATTAATAAAATTACCTATTTTAGAAGTGGTCAACATAAAGGTGCCAAAAACCAACAATGTTTATGCGCAAATAACAAGCCGGGAGAGAGCCTTAATTGTTAAAAAGTTATGCTGCTAATGAAATGGCGGACAATGGTAATACTTGACGCTCTAAAATACACGGTAACATATAAAACCTTTTCCCTCAATCGACTTTTAGTAACCATTATATTTTTCAATTTTTAATATATATGAAAACACTATTAAAACTTAAAATTCGAATAGAGATCTTTTTTTAGTCCAGCGAGATATATTTAAACTTAATTAACAATAGATGTTCACAGCAAGTTTAATAACTTATTTACATATCAAATGAGTAAATTGTACTCAACATGGCTCCTTTGCATAATACTGCCTTAACTCATTCACGCCTGCATCGCTTGGCATTATGTTATCTTTGTTAGATTAGGTTATACTACCGGCTGTTATAATTAAGTGGTTGCTGTCAGTTCTCATACTTTTCATACTACGAATTCTTTACCATCATCAGTTCCATGAAGGTTACCAGAATAACACTTCCCTGTGTATTGAACTACTTTTGACCCTTTTATTGTTCTACTTTGATTTGTATTTCTTTCTGAAATTCAAATCAAATCAATTTTATATTAGTTTTAGTGTATGTTGTGACTGGCTGTAATTGATAAGCTATTCCGTATTTTGTGTACTCTATTAAAATATATATAGCAGTCTACTTATTGTTGACTGTTTTGATATTAAATAAAATCAAAATACCCTGATTGGGACTAATATCCCTGATTGGGAAATATTGAAAGACTCACTCATAGTCATAAGGAGGACGGGTATTAACCTACCTGTGAATTAGAATTGCAAATGCAACACAGACTCTTTGAATAATGGACCACTAATTAAATAGTATAAAAGTAAATTTTGTCTTCCATCATTTTTCGTTACTTCAACGTGTCCAAGAACTAACTCGATCGATAGAAGTAATTTGTCCTAACCCAACATATTGTCGCTTATATAGTAGAATAATGGCCAAGAATAATTTATGAGTGATCCCTATAAGGGAATCTATATGTAGATATGTGACGGTAAATATGATTGACTGGTAATTATAACAAATTACTAGTTATTTGATGTAAATAAATATATGTCGCGAGTCTTTATACCTAGTAAAACATATAAAATTATACTAAGGGGATTAATTGTAAAGTTAGTTTCTATTCTACAACAAAGACTAGGAGTATGCATATTGGGTATTCAAAATGTTTCATTAAAAGTATAAAAGGGGTGATTGTAAACACTTTAATTATAAATAAAAAATTATTAATGGCTTGATTGTTGCAAAACAATGTACGGTACAGTCATAAACTCAGACAAATTGAGATTTCATACTGCCTAACCGCATTTTCATTTATGTAAATTAATAACAATAGTACATTTATTATATTATACACAGCAGTATAATTATACTGTTTGGATTATTATATTTAGATAAAAAATAGTTTGATCAATAAAATTACTAGAAAATAAAATTTCGTTCAATTTAAAAAGTCAGACAGCAAAATTTAAAATATTGACTGATGTTTACTCATTGACCGTAAGGTATGCCTACATAAGGTTTTGATCATGGTCATGAGGCATGATATCCGGACCCCGTGTTTGCTCAGTGTGTACCATAAATCTCTGACCGCGCGACATTTTACGTGCCTACGCTTCTCGATCGACTTTTCGTACGGAAACAAAAAGCCCGGAAATCCGATTGAAGATAAACTTGGATTTATTAGCTTTTGAGATTGAGAATTTTGGGAATGGAGAATCTGGGCTGATTATGAAAACTAATACAGATGAAAGACAAATTCAATTCAATAAAGAAAAAATCAAGATCGTAAACATGCTACGTAACAGGATAGTACGGGTAGCAGGTGAGGAAAGTACAGGAGCACTGATCGCACGGGGATGCCCTCAAGGAGGAGTACTCTCACCGCTACTATGGAACCTGGTGGTCAACGACCTGATTACCCGTCTGAACGCTAGACATTTCTACACCATAGGGTATGCCGATGACATTACAATTCTCACTCTAGGCACCCACGCTGGTATAACCTGCAACATCATGCAAGCAGCCTTGAAACAAGTCGAACGCTGGTGCGAACAATACGACCTGGCCGTGAACCCAGCAAAAACGGAACTGGTAATGTTTACAACCAAACGCAAAGTAGGCACGTACTGCCTACTGAAGCTATTCGGCACCACACTACAACTGTCCAAGGAGGTAAAGTACCTAGGTGTAATTCTCGACAGTAAACTAAACTGGAACAGCCACATAGAACAAAAAATCAAGACTGCTAACGTTGTTTTGTGGCAATGCCGCAGGATGATTGGGAAGCGCTGGGGACTTGCGCCAAAATTGTTTTTGTGGCTATACATCACAGTCATAAGACCGATGGTAAGTTATGGTGCCATCGTATGGTGGCCAAAAAATACTTAGTCTATATGTGAAAACAAACTACAAGGCTTCCAGCGGCAGGCATGCTGCGCCCTAAAAGGATGCATGAGCACGGCTCCCACGGCAGCTCTGGAGGTAATGTTAAATGTTACGCCGCTACACTATGTCTAATGTAGATACATTAGACAGGAAGCGGCAAAGACAGCATTGAGACTAAAAAACTACAAACTGGTAAGGTTCGAGACCACCAAACATCTCAATGGCTTACTGAAGGAATGGCTCAACACCCCACTTGTAGAAGCGGCGTGTGACAGAATCGAATCCGCCTTCATTTTCGATAACAAATACAAGATACATCTAATGAACACTGACAATCCAAAGGTAACTCACAAGGCCCTCACGGTCTTCAAGGATGGCTCCAAAACCGCATCAGGAGCAGGAGCCGGAGTATTCTCCGAGGACCTCAACATACACCTCTTCCTGCCTCTCAGCACATACAATACAGTCTTTCAGGCTGACTGTATGGCTATTACCATGGCAGCGAGAGCGATAGCAACAAGGAAGGTAACAGGATGAATAATTCGGATCTACTCGGACAGCAAATCCGTTTTACAAGCTCTCAAAGGCAGCTCTGTCAGATCGAGTCTTCTATATGAGTGTCACCAGGTTCTAAACATGGTAGGGTCACAGAACACAATTACTATCCAATGGATAAAAGGACACAGTGGATCACGTGGGAACGATGCAGCTGATGAACTGGCACGCAGGGGATCAAACGCAACACCATTGGGCAACGAGCCGATAATCCCTATCCCCGTAAGCTGGTTAATTGGTAAGATACGAGACCACTCAGTTAAACTACATCAACAATACTGGCAAACCTTGGAGACCTGCAGGCAGGCAAAACTCGCTCTACCCCGAGTAAACGCTCGTCTCTCCAAGGCCCTCCTACAGCTAAGTAAACCACTATTGCGCCTGGTAACAGGTGCTATCACTGGTCATGGCAATTTTAACTGGCACCTTTTTAATCTAGGTGTCACTGACAGCCCCTTGTGCAGAGGATGCATGAGGGCAGAAGAAACAGCCGCTCACGTCTTGCTGGAATGCAACGGAGTGGCCAGTTAGCGGGCAAAGCACCTCGGCTCGCCGGGTAACCTCCAGGAGGCCATCGCAAACGTGAAGGTAGGAGCGTTTCTGGCAGTGCTGGGTTGGCTGGAGTAGTATCCGGCCACACCCTCCATACGCAAAACAGGCGCAATCTTGACGTCGAGTTGCGGAGACGCCCGTTGGAAGAAGAAGAAGAAGAAGACAAATTCAATAAGTGATGTTGAACCTGCCTGGCAAATACTGATCTAAGATTCATGTTGAATAATTGTTTGTATTTTATAAATATCTAAATTGTAATAATTAGATGTAAACGAGATCACCAAAATGCGGAAACGCTCGAGTGCTTATACAATTGGTAAATATTTCTCATTTTCTTCAGTTAAATCATGAATGAAGACCATAAAAAGCAAATTAGATATAGCAATGAATGAGAGTAAAAAAGACAGGTTAACTTTGAAGATGAACTTTTATTCGACCCGATAGCCGATTATAGTATCGACAATAACGAACTAAGCGCATCTATCAAAGTCAATCAGCCGAGAAACACAGCGGCTTCATATAAGTTTTTAAACATTCTAAAATGTAAATTTCAATTTATAACAATTTTTTTGAGGAATTAAAGTTATACATTAGAATGGCAGGGAAAAAATGTTGGCCTATTCAAAAGTACTTTATAGAAATTTATTTGAATTAATTATATATTTTGATTTGAATTTGATAGCATTATCAAAGCGAGTGAGTGAGCGCCGTCCATCAAAGTTAATCAAAACACTTTTTTAAATAGAAATTGAAAGTTTTAATAAAAAATAATATCGTTTAAATGAATAATAAATAATAATAATGTTGTCTCACCCTGTCCATAGCACAAACTCGAGCGTGTCCGGATGTCGTTCGGACATGAAAGCAGCGGCGCTCTGTATCAGGGACCAGGAGCTGTCGCAGGTGTGGTCGCGGTGGCGGCCGTTCCGGTGGCTGTGCTCGGTGTTGCCGCGACTGTGTTTGCAGCCTAAAATAAAATCAGTGTCAGTACTTACAGCAAAATATTTCTACTGAATACAATACCGTTATGGCTCTAGTATACTGAATAAGTTATCAACTTCTAATTACTGCAAACAAGATAATAATGACAGACAAAAGAAGAAAAGCCAACCATGATAAATTGGTTTATAAAAAGGCCTCTCAACACAAAGTTTTTCAAATGGTTTTTATATAATTTTTTAACGGTATTATTATTTACTTTATCTACGATTGTGGTACATTGTTCACCGTTCTCGTTTATTTTTAAACCTTTTTCTCAAAAGTACATAAAACAGATTTTTTTCTATATTTTCACTAGACTAGAGAACCTTATTAGATAATAATTATTCCTCCATTAAATTAAACTAAGTAATATTACAGAATACTACCAGTAGACCACTGGAGTACCACAGTAAGCTCTACTTAAAATTCCTTAAAATAATTCTAACATTTATTCAGTTGATATAAATAATCACCCATCTACGAATAATTGAAATAATATGTGTGTTTTAATAATATATCACTTTCGAATTCTATATCCCCGAGTTGATGAAAGTTTATTTTACAAACATAATTCAATCAATTATATGACACGCACACAATAATTGTGTCAATCATTCTGTGGTTCGTGTAATTGCAATTAGTAAATTTTATTGTTATTTGAAATTACACCGTTAAGATCGAGTTATTCATCACCATCTATCACTGAAAACATATAAAAAACTCGATATTACTCGCTATTATAGCCTTCGTCACCCGCATACCCGCCCTTTAGTTCGGAAATTTGGAAGGAATATAGAATATGATAATAGAGGTATTATTTAAATCTTTTATTCAGTCTAAACTGTTATAAATACTTGTAAAAGTCCAAACATGGTCCAAACTCTGCCGTCAACATGAACGTGCAAGCAAAAATGAAAGAATGTAGAAGCTGACAAATCTCAAGATGCACTTTTAACGATCGAATTTATTTCTTTCAAAACTTATACAATCACGTAACATATTACATATAATGCCAACCCTTGTAAGTTTACTCCGAGAACATACAATAAAAAAATGTTTCAGAATTAATACAGAATTCAAAGTTTTTGTAATGCGTGTGAGGGGCGCCCTTGCTAATAGGTTTATGGCGTAGAATTGGAAAGTAATATCGGCCATTAAAATCTGTCAGTTTTCTGGCGGGATAGACAAAGACATATGAAAATATATACATAAATTTATAAAAGAATAACTTTAGAGCTTAGAGTAAGAGCTGTTTTTCCTTCAAACGTTTCTCAGTGAATTACATCTTTTTCTTAGAGCTAAGAACCTTAGAGCGTGGTATTCATTGATAGAAATATAAAATTTATTAATGCAATACAAATATGCACAAACATGATGAAATTAACTAATAAAAAACTGCAACTTTTAAACGGCTTCATCGCGTTTGTATTTAGTTGTATTGACGTTTTGGACTCTTCATAGGTTCGGTGTTGTTGTTTAATTTATGGATAATGCATGTAAAAGTATAAGAAATCAATATAAAACTGCAGTTTTTGTACATAGCGGTATAGTCAATTAAATAGTTCATAGAAGATAAAATCAAAAATGTTCATAATAAACTAAAAAGTTGGATGTGATTAGGCGCGAGTGAGGCGCAATCAACGATTTTGTGTGTGGTGTTAGGTGTAAAATAATGAAGGGTATTCTAACTAGAACTGAAGAGTTTGAGTTTTGACTGCTACATTGTCTGAATTGTGGTTGGTGATGCAAACGAGCCGCTTTGAGATATAAAATTTTCATGTAGCCGCAACATCGAAATGTTAAATGCGAGGTGTAATAATTTCTTTTCGTGTAATCCAGCAAGTTAGTATTTGTTTTTAAGAAAGTCTGTTCTTTCCCAGCAGCCCAAACTTTCACAATCAAATATTATAATTAAAAGCACATAAATCTACTTAGGCCTAGAAATAGAGACAATTTGAACGATCTATAATTTTATTTCAACTTGTGTTTTGAAACTATTAATTTTTTTTTTGGTCCATTGATATGATATTCCTTAATGAAATGCCAGTGCCTATCTGCCGTCTTCATAATTAGACTTTGAAACCTTAACATGGTCAAAGTTCATTACTCTTCTAACAGACCAAACAGTTATGATACGATGTTCCATCATGAAGTTCCAGTTCATATTTTTCGGCCCCATCGTCAGATCAGTTCGATAGTACCAATTTTTATGATGCTACGATCCTTGGAAAATGGTTAGATTAGTTACTTAGATTCCATTACATCGTTTGTTTCTTACATTCATACATGTCAACCTAATAAAAACGTGTTAAAAATTGTTTTTTTTTTTTTCATTTAAACAGGCACTATTAATACATTTCTTTCAAACGTTATAAGAAGAAAATAGTGAAACTTTTATCTTATTTGAATAAAGAAAATGTTGAAATAGCACATTGGACTAATGAATACGATTAACAAAAGAATTCGACAATTTGCGGCTAATTTTTTATAAATAAATTGGCGCGCATCTTATGAGCGATATCTCGGCAAACATGTAGGTATAATAATAGTGATGCATGAAAATCGATTTATTCCCGCTAATAAAGTTATGAAACCCAAATTCTGGTAGAGGCAATAAAAAATATTACATTACTATAACGGCGGCGACAGCGCCCCTCTCCGAGAAGGTCAAATGCACTTACTTCGAGGCCCGCACCTGTCACGGTTTGTTTACCTTCCGCGTCACTCGATGAACTATTTGCACTAATCAGCGAATAGTTATTCGAGTGACGTGATTTTGATCACACGATAATTAGGAGGTGATCTGCGACTGTATCGTCGTCTTGTTAACCAAAGTTTATTTATAGCGTACGTTATTTTACAAAGGTGTGTATGATTATTTTTTGATGTTTTTCATTATTTACACAATACATATTGTTTAGAATTATTTCTATTTATGTATTTTACTATTAATTTATATAAAACACTGTTTTTATGAGTGAATTTTATTATAAAAAGTTTATTTTTTATTAAAACTATCTTTGTTTCAACTGATTATATGACTTGCACCTTTTATTGTTTTATAATATAGTAAATATGTCTAGTATCAATGCCTATGCTATTTACATCTCGAACTAAGTTCTTGACAAATAAGAGGAAGACAAAACTACGTGATTTTGCCTTGCCTTAGCTATGGGAGTAATTACAAACGGCACTTTGGGGCGAAACAAGAACTGATGTAAAATGTATACATATAACAATAAAACAATATTCCATACAGCTACTACACACGTCAATAATGTGCGATCCACAAATGACATTTTAAAATTTCACGCATCTAACATTCAGTTGCACAAACGTCCATTAAGATTTAATGACGCCTTTGAGCTCTAATGAATGTCAATTTTGTATGGGTAATGTCGCTTTAAACTAATGAAAAATTTAATCAGCGGCTTGTGAAACTACAACCATTTCAGTTTTCATCATTTAAGCGCTACAATAATCAATTCCCTGTGTTCATTAAACAAACTGTATAATTCAAACTTTTAACTGAAAAATAATACAATCAATACAGTTTAATACCAGAGAAATGGTTTTGAATAAATTATACACACGTATGGTACCCAAGTCGATTATCAGAATGAATACGCTTTGTTTGTACGGTACCTACACTATTCTCATTTGGTACTAAAGCTTTCGTTGTTAGCTTAGGATAACCATAAGTTTCATTGTGTGATGTATTAGTAAAAGCTGACGTGGCGATAACTCGTCTGTTAGTTTTGTGGTTGACAGCGTTGACAATGACAGCCTTCGTTTACTTGAAATGAGTAAAAAGCTAAACGCTGTTGTGCACATAATACTCTTAATTTATCTATGTAACTAGAAATTAATCCTAATTTCACTTTTTGGCGGTAAATGTTCGCTTTAAGTAGAATGTAGTTTAATATTATGATGCCAGGACATCATCATATTTTTTTTTTAATGGTTAACTGCATTTTTAGCGCATTAATAAAAAATCCAGTTTATAAAATTACAAAAACTATGGCGTACTTTTATATATGAAAAGGAAATAATTTTGCACCTTAAATCAAATAAATTTTTGACATTTGTATAGGTACGAAAATGGCACGTAGTCAATGTTTTTCTTGCTAAAGATAAAAGATAACAAAATGCTGTAATAAGTTGACTCAAGAATCGTTCGCTTGATTTCGTTAATAATTGTTTAAGTTATTATGCGCTTTTAAGTAACTATTAACACTACAAATAATATCAACAGAGATATAACGCCACTTTATTTATCTAGAGATACTCATCTTCAAGATTTTTTATTTCTTAAATAGGTACACCAAAAATCACTAATACTCAATTACTTTTGGACAAAAAATAATGTCAAATAAAGTGTAAATAGTAAAAAAAGGATTTTCTCAATAGCAGAAATAACGAAATTACCCGTGAAATTCACATTTTAAAATGTCTTCTATTTTTTTAAGGAAAATTGATTAATATAGCAACCATTTTGTGGCCGAGGGCTTGAACACAGCACTTTTGCTAGAATCGTGATGGTTTGTGACCAATTAAAGAGATACAGGTAGTTTTAGTTTTATCAGTGAATTCGTATAAGAAAACACAATATCCAATAAAGTTTGTATCAATTAAAGAGAAGACATATATCTTGTGATAAATAATAAGCACAGTCCGTCGAAATTACCACTTTGATGCTTTTGTATAGAATGGAGGTTACTTACAAATAAAATAAACACACGAGTGCTGCAACTAAGAACTCTACTCCCAACTGTTTATGCATCATATTTGTGTGTTTGTTTATGTTAGATCGCAAACTCGGTTTACGATGTTAACATAAAGTAATGCTGTGTTCTTGGAAAGAGCACTCGGTACAAAATATGATAATTCAAAGTGCATCTATCCTAGGAACAGTGTTTGAAAAGTAAATGTTGTTTCGGTTTGACGTTTTTATGGTACACAAAATAAATAAAAACTCAAAGGACTGGATTACTGAAACATTTTGACTAGTGAAAGTAGTCTCTGAACTGGTAGCAATTCAGTGATATTGGTGATCTTAAATCATATGGCTATTATCTCTTAATAAACTCAATATTTGGGGTATGTTGGGAGGGGTTACTTTCACCCACCACATAATAGCTTAGGGTCATTGTCCGTTTTTTGCCTGCCCTAGGAACAGACTGATAAATTCGTCAGTCTCGCTAAGACCAAGTGGCTCAATTGGTTAGTGCAGTTTACCTAGTGTAGTAGGAGATAAATATTAATATATCATTGTGGTTATAAAAATAACGAAATAATTATAATAATTGGAAGACTAAATTTATCTAGTAAAATTACTCGTAAAACAGTGTTTATTTATTTATTTTATTTTGGTACAGCAACAGAAAACAAATCAAGATCACATGCTTACAATTAGGCATAATTAATTAATTTATTGCTTATTTGCCTTCCTATAACTGCTGCACACGACACTTAAATAGTACATGTATTAACAGTAAATATGACAATGAATGAATAATAAACAAATGTTATCATTCATGTTTCAAGATTTCCGAATAGTTGTTGTCTGACTCTTTGGACAGAACATATGATAATATAAATGTAGAAAATTCACCGTAGAATATAAATTACTTAGATAAGTAACGTGTAAAATTTGAGACTAAGTCAAAAGGCATTATTAGCACTAAATAACTGCCTGTACTTATCCGAAATCGAGCTTATTGTGTTTGTGTTAGACATATATCAATTTAAACTAGAAAATGGGTATTTATAGAAATCATTCGAGAAAGAGTATTTATAATATTGGTGAATTATAAGAAGACAATCAGATTAAGCACTGCGTTTAGAGACATTAACGGTTCGTAGCTGCAAAGAGTTTTATCTCTTTGAATAACAAAGCAGCGACGTCAGCGGTGCTTCGGTAGCGACTGCTGGTTAGCCTCCGTGCAAAGTCAGAAGTAGCCGCCAAATTAAATGGTGATAGATGAGATTACTACGACGGTTGGCATCGTAACTGGCGAATGAGATAACAGTGTAACAAATCCATTCACCGTGGTTGTCTTGGAAGTGTCGCCGCTAGTTGCTGGATGGATTTCAAGGTATGCGCTCGCGTGAATCAAAATCAAAATTGTTTATTTTTAAATTTTTAACTAAATTTATTGATTTAAAATAGTTACCATTATTATCTATGAATTGCTGCCTAATAGGGAGGTAATTTATGCCTTTTCGATAGAACTCTGGGGATCTAGATTTCTCAAACTGTGTGGAAGCATTTTGTTCTGCTTCCTGGGAGGAAAACTTCTAGTCACGTAGATAATTGTCCAAATCACGAAAAAATGGTAGTCCGTTGGCGCAAGGTCTGGCGACGAATGGAGGATGACGAATGGTTTCTAACTTTAACTCCTGAATGGTCAAAACGGTTATTCGCTCTGTATGAGGTCTCGCGTTGTCACAGAGCAATAATGGTGAAGATCGATTCATGAGTCGGGGCTGTTTTACTGCTAGTTTTGCCAACATTGTTCAGAGTTCGGCACAATAGACATCTGCCGTTATTGCTTGACCAGATCGGAGAAAACTATAGTGAATAACACCATGCCGAGACCACCAAACAGTTACCATTACCTTTTTATTGATAAGTTTTGGTTTAGGACACTGTTGTGGCGTTTCACATAGGGACAGCTATTGCATTTTTCTTTTACGGTTATCATAAAGAATCCGCTTTACATCACATGTTCAATTCGATCCAATATTCCTTCATTTCTGTACCGATTCAACAAGGCAACACAAGTTTCAACACGCGTTCCTTTCTGCAGATCAGTGAAATCATGAGGCACCCATTTTTTGTATTTTTTTATTTTATTGATTTGACGCAAATGAGTCAATATTATGGGTAAGGTAACGTTAAACCATGCCATTAATTCCTGGGTAGTTTGACTAGGATCGGCTTCCACCATTTCCCTTAATTCATCGTTATTCACCTGTGTGGGCGGTCTTCCTCGCGGCTCGTTCTTCAAGTCGAAGTTTCCATCACGAAAGCGTTTAAACCAAAATCGCACGGTGCGTTCATTAGCAGACCCCTCTCCAAACGCAACATTGATTTTGCGGACTGTTTCTGCCGCGTTACTTCCGCGTCGGAACTCGTATTCAAAAATCACTCGAATTGTCACAGTATCCATCTTTCTTGTCTAAGTTGAATTATTCAATTTTAAGTTGAATTATTCAAATGTTTCACATTTTTTAAAAGAAGAACATCATAGAAACCACGTGAAAAAAGTTTCTTTCGAAAACCTCAAACCATGAAGATTTTACGTCAATTCAAGGAATCACAAGAAAACGGCAATTTCATACTTTAACCCTAATATAAGTGAGCGTTGCCGAGAAAGTAAACGTCCTCGTAGCTAGTTCTTAATAGTTTTAAAATACGGGAACTCGAACTCGACTTCGGCGTCCTTTACTGTCCTTGGCCACCAGAGTCATCTTTGTCTATCTCCATTTCTTTTGATGTTTTACATTTTTCAGTAATTGTAACAAAACTTACACGTTCTAGTTCCAAATGAATCAAGGTTGATTTAAAATTATAAACTCCATCTTACCTCTGTGAAATTCTGGTGAATTGTGGAATGGGTCATAGTGGAGGTCTGTGATGTGCCAGAAGTAACCTGTAAAATAAATATCATATTATACAAATAAATCAACATATGTTGAATTCGTACAAAATTTTAGTGACAAGTCGAGGTGCCTAAGAATAAAGACGTATCTACAAAATGTCGAACTGTCAGAAAGTGGTTGTTAAGTTGCTAATAATGTGAATTGTTAATTATTTATTATTTAGGTTAACCGGAAACAAATTACATTATTTCTATCGTCTATAGAATATCTTATGACTAAATCTCAATGTATTTGTTATGTAAACGCAAACACATGCATGAAAATTGACGTAAATTAATAATAATGTATAATAACAACACAACTAAGATTACAAAAAAAAAGAAACTAAATATTTTGACAGTTGATTTGCAACTTAAATTTTCTCAAGCTCATAGCGCGGACGTCAGTGTCATCACCGCAGCTGTTTTTATATATTTTAGACATTCGAGAAATTGCAGAATTTGGGCCTGCCATAGTATGATGAAAAGGTGGACAGAGAGGTGCGATTGGTTTACGTGTATATCTAACTGGTATAATATCAACATGGCAGAGTTTTTCCATGTCATATAACATTACACTTAGATATATAGGTGAACTTATTATCACTATATGAACAGACATTTTTCATGTCCTGGAATTTTAAGCAGTGCTTTGATAGTCATTCAATCAAACAAATTTAAATTTTATACGAGAAAAATTGTGTTTCTTAGTGTAATTCATAGATAGGTTTTTTCTCTTAATTTTAAATCTATCAATGTTAAGGATAAAAGAGGAAAAGGGCTTTATAAAAATATACAGTTTGCTTTTTAACCGTAGAATATTGATGCGAAAATACCACTCCTATTTCTTTTGAAATATGGTCAATTACCGATAGAGGAAATTAATCAAGTATTGAATAGTATATGTACGGTCGGCCAAGAAAGTGGTCTACCAGTTTTGACAACATTTCCCGTGTCTTTAAAGCATCGCTAAAGGCGAATCTTAGAATTGCATACAAACAATAAAAGAAATGCACAATGCTGACGTGTTGTCGTAGAGCACAAATGTTATTTTGACCTTTGCAGCCTATGCATTAGATAATAATTTGCAACAACAAATAGTCTTCACAATATTTCATAAATTTTAAATTTAAGTAGGTCACTTCAAAGTGGAAACTATTTTGTTACGAAAACTCTTTTACTGAAAAAGAATATATCACTTGATAATTCATGTCAAATATTTTCTCGGCATTTTCCGTAGGTATTTTCCTAATTAATTTACACTACAATGCCCCGAAATTTATCCATTAACGAAAGAGCACAAATAATCGCATTACACAATGATGGTTTGAATATTAGTGAGATTTCTAGAGAATTAAATGTGTCGGTAAGTATTATTATGTCTGACGTGAGTTTAATGTAAAATCTCAGACCAAGTCCGAGTGTAAAATTTTTTTTTATTTTTTCTTTTCATATTTTATTTTTGATTATAGAGACAAGCTGTCCGTCTTTGGATAAGACGAGAAAGCGAGGAGGGGAATTTGAACGCTCGGAGTCGTAGCGGTCGTAGACCTGAAATATCAGATACTAAGCGAGTCTTCATGAGACGGAGTTATGAGGAATCTGGCTTTATACCAACGCGTTATTTTGCCGACATATTTGACGTGACTCTCCAAACCATTAGAAACCATTTACATTACATGGGCTTACATCACAGGCGTTATGCAAAGAAAATTTATGTGACTGACGCTCATAGAATGGCCAGATTAAATTTGGCCATAGAATATTTGGATTTTGATTGGAGTAACACTGTTTTCTGTGACGAGAAAACTTTTAAATCCAGTCAACACGGGCGTCTACACCTTTGGCGATTCAATAAAACGCGATACACGCAAAATCATGTCGTGCCAAAAAGAGAATCGGGTCGTATCTCGGTAAATTTGTATGGATGGATGACTGCTGATGGTGTTGGAGACTTGACTTTTTTGCCACCACGAGCAAAGGCATCAGATTATGTTGATGTTCTCCAAAATGCTATGTTGCCATCCGTCCGGAACGTTTATCCAGAAAATGAAATGCGTCAATTTAATTATTTACAGGATAACTGTCCCTTACATAAAGCAAGGGTAACACGTGCTTGGTTTGATGCACATCCGGAAATAAACTTGATACCATGGCCTGCAAAATCGCCAGATCTCAACCCTATTGAAAATATGTGGGGTCTTATGGTTCAGAGATGGTGTAACCGTAATGAACGAACAGCAGAAGCACTACAAGGGCACTGCAATGAGGTTTGGGAGGAAACACGTGGGTCTGATATCTGCTCAAGACTGGTGGGCTCGATGAGGGAACGTCTCCAAGCTGTTATAGAGGCAGATGGCGGCTGCACAAGATTTTAAGAATTATAATTTTATAAAAGAATTGTATATATTTTTTAACAACCAAAGAATTAGCATTTTTACTATCTCTTCTAGTTTTAGCCCTTGTCTCGCACTAAGCTATGGATCGGCGCAATATGTTTTTCGTCGCTATTCATTTCTGTTATCCGTTATCTCAGTATATTCAGACCTATAACACGCATAGCTTCTTACGCATAGCATTTCACTACCTACTGATTTTTTTATTTGTATTAAAATATAATTAATCTACATTCTAATGTAAGATATTTGTAGACTATAAGACTTTATTTACGATATTCTAACTCTAAAGTATTTAAACATACAAACAGACAGACAGAAAAAAAAATATTTTTGGCTTCTATTAGTCTTATGAAGGCCGTCCATATATTTTTTTCCAAAATATCTTACAAATGTAACCTTGTTACAAGAATTGATTTTTATTATAGGTATAGATAATTACTGTCAAAGGTTAAGTCAAAATGATGAAGATAGCAATAATGACGTGTACTTGACGTGTCAAAAAATTAATGCTACGGAAAATCAACCTTGTTGTTAGTTGACGTAACACGTGGTAGACCACTTTCTTGGCCGACTGTACCTAAAATGGAATACTGTATTATTATTACCACATTTTTTTAAATATACTGTTAACCCAAATTTTTACCTATTATTAATAATTTCAGAATGAATTTCAATATTAGATATTAGGCATTATAATCCTTATTCAAAATCTACTACTAAGCCGTAAAAAATTGCTCTGATTAAAAACATACGCCTTATTTATAGGTCATTAGGTTAGTTAGACAAGTGAAAATACTCACCAATTTTCGCGTCAGTGAGATGTAGCCAGAGGAGGCCTATGATATATACAAGCACTCTGCTCGGATTCATGTTACAATATTACATGGTGACAGACCCCTTCTTTATCTCGCAACGCAATCATCTCGTTCTTGTCTCGCCTGTCAACAAAATATACATATTAAACATTAGAATGATAGTTTCCCGCGGGATTGCTACTATGTTACTTATTTTTTTGATGTTTTTTTCGAGTGGTTGTCATAGGCAGATATATCTATCTCCCTTCTTTATAGTCCTTTTCGTTCGATGCTCGTACCACTGTTATGATATCGCGAACAGTGGTATGGGTATCGAACGAAAAAAGACAAGAAAGAAGGTAGAGACTCTACAAAGGAGGTTAGAACTCAACAAAAACATTTCGCTGGATGTAAGGTACATGGTAGCAGTCCCACATAAAATTCATAAAGCTTCAAGCTTAAAATAACATTTAACATTGGTGAAAACATATAGAATTTAGAAAATATGTTTTAAGTGGCAATTTGTGTCAACTGGTGTGTTGGTTGATGTCTAGACATCAACATCGCTCGTTATCGAGGCTCAATCGGCTATACAAATTTTATCAATATTCTATGTTCACCGATGTTTCCCCGAATTGTGAACTAATTTTATATCAAATTCTTGATTATGTTCAGCAAATAATCAAAATCTCCAGGACTTTCATTATGTTAACATCGTTATGGGTTATCATTTAATAATATACAGAAAATTTTAGTCGGACTTCCATACCAGTTTCTAAAATATTTAAACCCATTTTAAGATAAGCATTATTTCTTATAACATTTTAATTTGATATTTTAGACAATATAGTATTGAAAACTCTTATATTTTCAACAAAAATTGTGACAAAACCTCATGAATTTCAACTTAATTGGTTCAGCAGTTTTCGAGCAAATTTGAAGTGACAGACAGAAAACGATTGATTCTACAAAGGTTCCGTTTTTATTATTTAGGGTAGAGAACCCTAAAAAGGTTTTTAATCAACGTAAAAGAAGGTGAGTGAACGTTTTTTTAGATACAAAACACATTCTATACGCATAATGATCACAGGGAAAAGGTACATATAATTCGATCCGCTTACAATTATTCAGCCTATTTGCATATTTGATGGCCATGTCCGCAATTTAGCTTTTTATACAAATTGTGTAACAAAACGTTCTTTGTGAAGAAAATTCAATAACAGGTTTCAGATGAACATTATTATTCAGACAGTAGCAACAGAATTACAGTTGAAATAATAAAATTCTTTTTGTTAGTCTCTATTAACACTTAATTGATTGAACCGTTTTATCCGAAACCAAAAATAAAATCTACTTTCATTTTTGTTTTTTAATAAACATTGGCAGATAATATCACATACATTTCTCAAGCCCCAAAATATCAAAGCAAAGCAAATCCATTGTGATATGGTAATACAATCATATAAAGCGGAGACATTAAAGAAAAGTTTTTTTACAATAGATCTACTGGGAATCGAAACCCGGTCTACCTGGTTTCAATACCATAACTAATGACTATAAGTCGTGATATTGCCGATAATAATTAATTTATCTCCTGTATACATTATAAGGCCTTACTAATAAGTAATGTAATAAGCAATGCACTTCAAAAAGCGATATCCGCTTAATCTTCAATTGTTAATAACGTTTCATGGCATATGTGAAGTGATTTTCAAAATGACATAGGAATAGAATATCAGAGACACGTATAATTAATCAATTATGTTTTGTATTTTATACAAAAAATGGAATCAATAGATTTTTTTCACTATATGATGTGGACACATATGCGAATTTGAATTAGGATTTTTACAGAATTGTCCTGTAAAAATTACCGTGAAAAGTACACTATAACTAAACAACTATCATATCTTTCTTATTAGCATGGACCATAGTATATAAATTACTTACATCCGTTCAAATATATAATCCGTAAAAATATATTTGTAATTTACTCCTTAAATTTAAAAGTACATATTTAACATACATAAAACCAAATCTATTTTAAGAATTCTCAAAACAGTGAGTAGTTTTATACACCTCTAGTGAACATCACCCAACTTAAACCCATAAAATTAAATAATTGAAATCTAAACCACTTTTTAAAGACGTAATATTAAATAAAGGATATAATACTCCCGCTCACGACTTCAGCCACTGTTCTTACGTACAAAATCATAAAGAAGGCGTCTTTACGAGCGTCCCACAATATTGAGCAATCGTGTACCTACCCCGCAATCACTGTAGATCCCTGAAGCGGGCGGGAAATATATAATTTACCGACGATAAACGTAAATATATTATCTTTAGATAAGTTTTGCAGGCACTCATATGAGTCTACGCCTCAGATCGTACAAAGTTAGTTAATGATAAAAAGATACATGTAAAGAAAAAGATCTGCTATGTTTTAATAAATAGTTATAACTACTTATGTGATGAATTAGGGGTTTAAAAAAATCCACATAGTTTTGACGCAGTGAGCCTCCACTCCTCAACTTTAATGCATATTTATCTAAGCCATTTCGTATACGTCGCAGTCGTCCTAAACGATATTTTTAGTCGTTATCCCTTTTAAAACATAGTTTACTTTAAAATTATCTCATAGTCATATTTTAAACTATTACTTTTTGATGTTTCGTTCAGTTTTGCACATTAATGATCATTGAGAACAAATATTTTTCTCTTCAAAAATGAAAAACGCTAGATTAATCTCAGTATATAAAAGAAAGTGATCAATCAAATATTCTCTAATCATATTACGGTGTTAAGTAATTATAATAAAATTGATGAGCAAATGATGAATAAATTATATGAAAATTTCAAATAGTACTCGTATATAAGGCTCAATAAATCGAATTAAGCCTCAAGGCGTCATTCATGCAAATTACAGACTGAAGTAATATTATTATCTCTTTAAATGAAGCAATATTTGTATTATTAAGTATGTTAATGATTCACGCGTTAATTTTGTTATATTAATTAAAAAAATCATTAGGTTTACTTAACCTCTCTAATCTATAGTCACTTATATTTTTAGAATTTCTTTATAATGGTTTATCCATTAATCTGATTTTAAAAATTCTTTCACTCGTATAAAACTTTTTCTCAGACCATCCTTCCTAACCGAGTGGTTCGTACATCAATTTTGTACAAAATTTTGACTCTCCGGTTTGATTCTCGGTCGGACTAATAGAAAATGAACTTTTCTGTTTTGTATGAGTGTTTGTTGTTTCAGTTACTTCGTGATACCAGGACTTTAGCTGCTCATATTGGAACCTGAGCGATATAAATGGTGTTGCCTATTATATATTCTTGAGGTGGTCGGGGCAACACACAGTATCTGCTGCCGTAGCGCCTCCAGAACATCGCGCCGTCTCTTACTGTCAATCGACATCTTTGTGCACTCGTGTATAGGCGTACATACCATTTTTTTTTGATAACGCAGGGGAAATGCACCTTAAGCCTCAAACCAGGGCTCCTCTTCCACCCCGCCCTGAAAAGGGCAGGTTAATGTGGAAGCCCTACCTGGTAAAACCCGCTGCGGTTCACCTCACGCGAATAGGAGGAACCCGGTATCCAAAGATAGGGCCCGGTTTCATAGTCGTACATACCATGGACTTTATTTAGTCGGTTCATTACATCGATGATCACCTGTGCGATCTGGTCCTTTCTACTCTACCTTGGACAATAAGTCATTCAATGGAGTCATCGTTACGTCTTAAGATGCATTTGAAACGTTCGTATGCACGTCAACACAGCGGACTGGAGAATCGTAAACCATATAGACAGTACTGTCGCTTAATAACGCCCACTGGCATTGATCGCTGAAATTGTAAACACCTAATTAAACAAATTTATATTATAATATTTTAGCTTTAGTAATGAGTCAGTGTAGGACTTATAATTGAGAAGTATTCTAGTTGAATTTCTAGCACTCCAACGATAAAAAATTGTGTGAGTTACATTTTTAACAATGACGTTACGTTTTCGTGTACTCAACTCATTTGATTATTACAAAAAGACTGCACAGAGTTGTGAGAAGTTGTGACGAAAATATTTTTTATTGTCATGTTACAAAATACAAGTTTAATTTTTGTCGATGAGCAATTTCATAACAAATCCACTGTGTGTTTTCCTACACGCTGTGATTAATTGCCGTGGATGGAACAAAACTAATGTTTCTGATAGTGACAAATGACAATCGGACTTTGCCAGCCACTGTACGTGTCATATAGTTAATTAACTATAAGTTGTTGTCTAACGGAGTGTTTTGTAACTACGTTATATGAACGGAGCGAGCTGGCTCCATGAATTTAGTAAAGTTATAGCTTTACGATAAGTTTGTTAGAGAGTAGAGGTACGTAGGTAACGTATATATTGTTGTTCTTACAGTAAATGTGCGTTATTTGGAACTGTTTTAGCTAAAATTTTAAAACAATTCTTTTGCATTGATAAGAGAAATCAGTTCATAATAAATCAATTTTGAGACTGACTATTTTATTTATTAGACAATGTCAACTTGGATAACTTAATAATAACACATAGTTCATTTTAATATAATCCGGACTCTTGTCGAATGCTAAACCCTTTTAAAAATATATTTATTTTTCTCTCATACTACCTGATTTGCCGAGAAACTGTATTTTTACTATTTTCATGCAACTTCTAAGAAATGCCATATATTATATACTCCGCCGTTTTGTCACAATGTGCAAATGTAAACAGAATTTATTGCAAATAACAGCAAAAGATACCTAATGCAATTATATTCAATTTCTTTAATATACAATTTTAGGAACTAATGATCTAATGATCAAATCAACAACATTTATTTCACTGGAAATAAATTATTACATTACCTTTATTTTTAAAGTGAATATTATAATTTAGAAAACAAAATCTGTCGTATATTAAGTTATAATTGAAATGAAATGAAATGAAATGAAATGAAAATATCTTTATTCAAGTAGGCTATTACAAGCACTTTTGAATCGTCCAAAAAACTTTTTTCCCCTACCACTTGTTCAGGACGTCTTT